AGGCCCTCGGGCTGGGTGGTCGCAATGAAGACCTTGAAGCCAGGTGAGAAAACATGGAGAAAAGGGCACCGAAATGAACGCAACTTCAAGACCAGAGGACGAGCACAAAACCTCGAGCACACAAGAGAAGTCCAATGGCGCAGAAAACCCATCATATTTAAGGCCACGAGGCTGGATGGTCGCATGCTTCGACCACCTCTAGGGGTGGGCATGTGTTTAAAAGCAGAAAACCCTTTCATATTTAAGGACACGAGGCTGGATGGTCGCATGCTTCGACCACCTCCAGGGGTGGGAATGTGTTTAAAAGTTTAAAACCCGTCGTGTTTAAGGCCATGAGGCTGGACGGTCGCATGCTTCGACCGCCACCAGGCGTGGGCATGTGTTTATAAGTTTAAAACCCGTCATGTTTAAGGCCATGAGGCTGGACGATCGCATGCTTCGACCATCTCCAGGGGTGGGCATGTGTTTAAAAGTTTAAAACCCGTCATGTTTAAGGCCATGAGGCTGGACGGTCTCATGCTTCGACCGTCCCCAGGGGTGGGCATGTGTATATATGTGTGCAATAAGATTAAATTATCCAAGTGGTCACGAGGTGTTATAACGAAGATATCAAATCAAGATTACCAACAAGCATTATTGAAGATCAAGACAAGTAATAAACAAAATACCACCATTTCACGAATATTGCATAGTTCATTGGAATACATAATTGAGACTCAAAACAGACAAAATGGAAAACATAAACTACATCTAAGGAGGAGGAGCTACGGTCGAATCGGCGTTGCTCTGATTAACGTTGGAATCGCGCAGATGGCTGGTTCCGGAGGTTGAGTCACAAACTTCATTAAGAGGACGTTGACGTATAGACTCGGTCAGCACGGCCAGCATCGAGGCAGGTGGAGTGAGGCCATCAGGCAGAGCGTAAGTCTTCTTTAAAGTGTCCGACCGAGCCAGAGTCCTTTCGAGCAGTTCTGACCACCACTCATGCTCGAGCGGTAAGCTGGGATCACCCTGGAAGCTAGAAAGGACCTTGGGAAAGGCCTCCCAGATAGCCCCAGGGT